GAGGACAACAGAAGCAGAGACAGTGACAGGTGATACCAAACACGCTGCCAATGCATTAAAATCTTACCTTATATAATGTCTTTCAATGTATCTTTGCACGTTTTAATAAATCGTTGGACCTATTTCCCATTTTCCTATCCAGCTGTGAAGGAATGAGGGTGGCTCACAACTGTAGTGTAAAAAAACACAAAAATGAAGAGTGAAAGAAAATAGATTTCGAACTGACGTTTAACAAGTTGCCCCACATAAAAGAATCGAGTAGGAAATAATCAACCAAAAATAACCTACATATTTACTAGTAGCTTAGTAGTAGTTCACCAGTGTGACTTCATGGTGAATGTACCTGGTTTAACGTGTTGGCCTGGAGCAGTCAGGATGAGAACTTTACTGAGCAGGAGCCCGAGAGTCTGTTTATTTCATTGTTAATCCCAAATGGAGGATTATTCACAATGCACCCCCGTGTGTTATTCCTCATGTTTATGTATGAAGCATCCCCCAAAGAAGAGCCTCACCCCCAAGTCGCAGCATGCTGTCAACTGCATTTACTGCATGCGGTGAGCGCGCCTGACAGAGTTGACGTTATTCACTGTGACACTGTGATGCCTTTGCTACTCTGTCAGTCTGAATGCTGAGGTCGGCTCTTCTAAACACATCAACTCTGCATACCCGGCTTCATTTAGTACCACACAACACCTGACCATCCAAACCGCCTCAACACACAGACATGAAACAGTCACACTAGCATAAACATTCCCAGCAACCACATAATTTTATTTAATAACATGCAATATTTGTGCCTGCAAGGTGTGGGATTTTTATTAGCAGATCTGCATTTGTGTGTCTGTGTGTGTGCTGCACACATGTATAATGTAGTCTGTTGTGCCACAGCTGGTGTTGTCCTTGTCCTTTTGCTAACCTACTGCTAATAGTTACCTTTGAGCCTCCTAATTAAGTCCCATGAGGACAATGAGGCTGAAAGCAAGACAATGGATTTGTTGTGTGAGACTGTCTATGGCTCAGTGTCCTTTCACAAGTGTACAATCACACTTTGCCTTAAACACACACAGACACCAACACACACAGAGCCATCTGAGGTTAACTTGCTCCCAGAAAGAAACGAAGCTGCCAGCAGACTTCAGTTTTTCACTGCCAGCTCTTCTTCTGGGCTGTGAACACCTCCAGACAGAGCATGTCCCAAGCTTTTAGAGTTTGTGTGTATGTGCGTTTGTGCGACTGATCAAATTTAAGTGAATTCAAAGCGTGAAGTGAAGTGGTCACCGCAGTCAACACTGAATTATGGTACGTGCTGAAGACGACAAAAACCTTAACCATTGAGTGCTCGCTCTGCTGCTGGGAACAGGAAACTCATCTGAAAACCACTTCTCAAACTTAAATGTCAGCTGCTTTTAACAAAATCCTCAAGTGGCTTCTCACTTCACGTCCTTCACAAAACAAAAGTTTGCTGATCAGAGCGTTCAGTGTCTTATTCCCACTGCTTATAGGTGCATCTTATTCATGCACATGAATGATGCCTCGTGCTGATATTAAAGTATGTCCTCATGTTATTTTACAGCTTCGCTGCACACATGAATACTAGAAAAGATACACACAGTGAACAGGCTCTATTTGGATGATGAAGTATTTCCTTTCATTTGTTCACCAGCCCACATTTTAGGAATCGTGGGTTTAAAGGGGATCTATCAACTTCATTTTCAGATCTATCTTTTTATTCTTGGACTCTTGTAGAAAAACTTTGTATGGAACAATGCTCATTGATCATATACTGCCCTTCAGTTCAACCCAATCCATACCAAGCCATTAAGCTAATTTTCTTCTCTCTTCAGGCCAGCTTTGCTCTGATTGGATACCACTTGCAAATATTAAGTTTGACCAGCAGGTGGGTGGGGCTTTCATGCTCACATATTAAGGATATTTGCTCTCCAATATTAAAGAGAACAAATTAGAGCATTTAGAGCAGTCTGAAGCCTCAGACTCAAGAAAAAGAAAAAAGGCTGTAGAGGAAGAGCTGAGCTGTGATTTTCACCCACTTGCAGGGTTAGCTAACATA